TTTTTTTGGAGAGGTTTTTGCTTTAGGGCGTGTGCTCGCCAGACAGACAGAGAGAGACAGAGATAGAAAGCGAGAAATCACCCCCCCAGGGGGGATGGCCAGGCTGCAATCCCTTCTCCTCCATTCTCCTCTCGGGATCTTGGGCATGCACGCACATGCGCCCGGCATGAGTTTTAAGCCACCGGGTCCGGGATGCGAACTGCAGTCAACTACGTGGGAGTCCAGCAACATAGCCATTACGCTAACTGCTGGTCCCCATTTGACCTTCTTTAATTTTTAGAGTGGATCATCTTTTCACGAGTAGTGAAACACATTAATTAGCTATTTTATTATGCCTGGTCATATAGTTTCCTCGTTTTTCTGATGTGTTTTGTTTTTCTTATTAACCTTTAGAAATTCTCCCCACAATATCGTTCATAACATCTTGCTACATAATTTGTAAATATTTATCTTCATTTCCTTTTGTAAAAGAATGTATCGTGATGATTACCGAATACATTTTGTCTAAGGAGCACTCAGCCAGCAAGTAGGAAGACTGGAATTTGAACGAGGCAGTGAAATTCAGGAATGTTCATTCTAGTTTCTTCTTCCTCTCCTCCTTTTACCCTTTCTTTACACTTTGGATAGTATTTAATTGATTGAGGTAAAATTTAGAACAATGATTTCCTGTTATTTTGACACATCTCAAATGATGCCTCATTCTTCTTTCAAACATCAGATGAAGTTTTAAAGAGCACATCACACGGTCCAGCTCCCCTCCCCCTCCAGAATTCTAGGCCCTAGGGGCCGTCTGTACCTACAGCCTGAGGCCTATTTCACTCTGCTGTGGGTCCAGAGCTGCTACTAAGTAAGCAAGCCCTGGCAGAGGTGTGACTTTCACATCTCATTCTGTTCCGGGTGTTGAGGTCCCATGACGGACCCCTCTTTCTGAAAGTAAACACGTCTGCAACAATATTATGAGCCAATATTTTGATTTTTAAATAATCTGAAAAGCCCCTGGCATGGAGGGTGATGTCATCCTGAAGGTTCCCGCTGTGTCCCCTGCAGGCGTCTGCAGAACTGCAGCAGAGCTTCCCCACTTTCAGGGAAACGGATGCTCTGCCATTACGGATCCGGGATGTGAGCAGCACATCTAGACAGTTTGCCAGGTGTTCTAAATGGCCAGTTGATTAGTGTTGGGAAGACAGGAGGGATTGCTGGTGGAAATATCTCATTGCACACTCCTGTGGGTGTTGGGCATCAGCCAGTAGAGGTTAGCTTCTCTCTACCTGGCCTAGAGGCTCGGGGTAGTCAGTGTCCCAGGCTACAGGACACTGTCCATGACCCACACCTGGAGGTCCAGCTGGCAAAGAGGCAGTGTGATGAACACAGTTCACAGTTGCAGGCTAGTCTTTCTTTTTTCATGGTTTTATTTTCCTCTGGGGTTCCATTGTTCTAGCTGGGAGCTTTTATCAGCAAGGGGCTTCGTATCTGTTCTCCTCTTAGGGCTGGCAGTGCATTCTGTTGATTCTGTTTCTCTGGAGAACCCAGCTAACACCCACATACCAAGCAACACTCTGTCAGGGAAGGCCTCCTGTTCTGTGTCCCTGAGTGCTTAGGGATGGACCGGAAGGGGATAGGGCAGATGTGTGAGGAGAGACTGCACCAGCCCCAGCTCAGAGTGAGGACCAGCCCTTGCTGGTTACAGGTTCCTCCTAACACTGCTATAAGCTGATGCGGCAGCCACCTATAGGCCTAGAAGTCCACCAGGGAAGGCATGGAGGTTCCCCAGGAAATGCCTGGCAACTCCATGCAAACCTTGAACTCACCCCGTTGGGTCTGGGCCTCTCTCTATGTTGGGCCCCATCTAAGCAAAAGATAACAAAGGGATACTAAAGAGTCAACTCTTCAAGCAGTGAGACTGGCCAGATGACCAGCCACCCCGGAAACACTCTTGCCCTCCTGCTAACGACAGTAAGGGACAGTGCTGATGAACGCTTTCTACATTTCAGGGAGAGTCCTAAATGCAGTCATCTCTTTAATACTGACAGCATTGCCCAGAACCAGTACCATGATTTCCTCTGTTCTTAGGTTTTTATTTTTTTATTTTATCAGTGGGTGCATGTGCTCTTAGGAGAGAAAGACAGGGAAAGAGAGTGGGAAAGTAAGACCATGGGGGATGGTCATGCTGCAATTCCTTTTCTTCCACTTCTCATCCCATTTCAGGATTTGGGGCATGCATGCACAAATATATGCCCATTGTGCTGGGCCCAAGGGGGCCCATAGCTGCTGGGTCCAAGACTCAAACCATGCAGTTGGCTATGTGAGTGAGGTTCTGCTGCCCTAACCACCATGCCACCAATTGGCTCTTCACCTCCATTTCACAAATGGTTATACTAAGGCACAGAGAAGTTTAGTAAGTTACTCGAGGTCACTCAGTCAGTAAGTGGAAAAACTAGAATTTGAATCTAGGCAGTGTGATTCATGAGCGCTCACTCTGTGTTTCTTCTTCCTCTCTTCCTCCTCTTTTTACTTTGTATAATATTAACTGATTGAGGTATAATTTATATACCATAAGGTGCACTCATTTTAAACATGTGATTCAATGATTTTCAATCAATTCATGGAGTTATGCAACCCTTATCACACTCTAGTTTTAGAACATTTCTATTAAACAGAAAGGATCCCTTCTGCCTGTCTGAGTTCACTCTCTGTTCCTTCCTCCAGGCTCAGGCAACCGCTGATCAACTTTCTTTCTCCAGTTATTTGCCCACTCTGGGCATTTCGTATCAGTGGGATCTTATATTATGCTTTTGTTTTGTTTTGTTTGTGATCGTTGGAGAGAAACAGAGAGAGTGAAAGGGAAAGTGAGAAATCACCCCCTGGAGGAGTTGGGGAGGATGGCCATACTGCTATCCCTTCTCCTGCTGGGATTTTAGGTATGCAGGCATATGCAGCTGGTGTGATTTTCAAGCTGCTGGGTCTGGGACTCCAACTGTGGTTGACCATGTGGGAGTCCAGCGCCATAACCACTATGGCGCCTGCTGGCCCCAAATATGCATCTAGTTTTTGTATCTAGCTTCTTTCACTGGGTATGTTTCTGAGTTTCCTCTGTGTTGTTGCATGTATTCAGCATGTTCTTTTTCTTTCTCCTTTTTTAACTTTCAAAATTAAAAAAAGTGAGAGACTAGAATAATGAACTCCAAGTATCTGTCCCCTACTTTCTAATCAGGATGAGGCTCACTACGTATCTATAACCCCTGCCCACTTCCTGCCACCACTTGCCCTTTTCTGAGTAACCTGCAGACAATAATTTGTGATTATGTCAACACGCATCTCCAAAGGACAAAATCTGTTATTTTTTTAGTCAACCTAACCCTGTGTCAATATATCACTTAAAATATTAACAATGATGTTTTAGTTAATATCATGAACTGTTATGCCAATAGTCACACTTGTTATCCACTCCTTGACACTTGCTTACAGTTGCTTTTTTGCACAGTGGGATTTTTTGGGGGGATTTTAACCCTCTGTTTTCCTACCTCTCACCCAGACTGACATCAGCTCTCAGCAGGTGGTATATATGCGTCTCCTTGATGCTAAGCTTTGCTCTAGTCAGAAATGGAATAACTAGCTTTTCTAGCCTGCCTGCTTTTATAGGCAGGAAATAGTAAAAGTTTTAACACTAAGAAAGGCAGCCTTTTGAGGCTTATCTTACCCTTATCACCTCTGAACAGTCCCGGGAGCTTAGGAGGCAGCAGTGGGAGGAGGCAGCCAGGTGAATGGGCCCTTACCTGACGTCGTGGTGGTCCAGTTGCTCTCCGCTGTGGTGGTCTCGTTGCCCTTGAGAGCCCTGGCGAGTGGCAAGCTAAAACCTGCCAGCAGGAGTGGACAGAAGGGCTCCATGGTGCACCTGCAAAGAGACAGGGACAGGCTCAGAGGACCCACCCATCAGCAGGTCATGGGCTGACCGTTTCCAGTGATGATAAGGACGGTAACATTATTTCAGGGCTTTCTCTGAGCCAAGAATTTGCCTATGGCTTTCATGGGCCATCTCATGTAATCTTTGTAACATCAGCGGGATGTCATCACTGTGACTTCTTCAATTCATTCAAGGAGGGAACCAGGGCTCAGCAGTCCACCTGAGCTGATGGTTAGTAAGGGCAGAGCAGGAACTTGAACCCGGGCTGAGCTTGTCTCAGGTCCTTACTCTGGCAACCACTCACCCGAAATCACATCTGCATCACTTGGTCTAGTGTTCTGGACTCCTCTTTCATATTTGCTTTTCATGCTCACTGCCAATCCTGTCTCTCGTTCAAACCGTTCTCTGGACAATGCCCTTTTTATACCCACAAAACCAGTGCTTTTCTGTTATTCTTTTTAATTGTTAGAGGGTGCACATGCTTGCCAGAGAGAGAAAGCAACCCTTCCTCCCCCTTAGGGCATGGTCACGCTGCGATCCTTTCCCCTCTGTTTCTCTATTCTGTCAGGATTTGGGTCACACATGCACACACACACGCACACACACACACACACACACACACAGAGTGTGTTTCAAGCTATCAAGGCAGAACTCAAACTGCAGCTGACCATGTGGCATCTGGCTTTCTATGCATGGCATTTAACTGCTGCACTACAAGGATGGCCTAAGACAAGTGCCTTTTCATCTGTTTGTCTGTCCTCTTCTCTCTGCCTGGAAAATCTTGCTCCCCTCAAGGCCCAGCCTAGAAGCCACCTGGGTTGGAAGGCAGCTGTATGGCCCAGCTGCAACGCCATCCCCTGCACTCTACTGCTCCAACACTTGGTCTAGCTCTAGCAGCTGTCATGCGGTTTGGCACCTGATTATGCTCTCGTCTAAACTCTCAGGTGAGGTGGAGGGACACTTCCTCCACTAGGAAGGACCATGGTCCACTCATCTTCACGTAGCTGCTTGGGCACTGTGAGAGTGATGGTAGGTAATTACTGGGTGGATGGAGGGATGCATTCGGGCAAAGTGGATTGCAAAGTGGCTCAACACAGAAGTCTCTTTCATGTTGGAAACCCACAGGTTGTCACCCACTTGGTGTTCCACTTTGCCAAAACACCTTAGATCATCAGTAAAAGTGACAGTGACCGAAGGGTGGTATAGAAATGACAGAAATGATTCCGTAGAAGAGAACTCATTGGCAGGGGAGGGTGGGCAGTGATACCTGCAAAGTGAGATTTGGTAGTGTCAATGCAGACATGCAGTTCAGGTATGAGGTCCCCCCTGTTTCCCACCCATTGAAAACTGTTCAGGGTCCGCCTGAGGCACCCCAAATTGTCCCCACCAATGGCATTTTCTTGTATGAGGCCTCCATTGGTGATGTGAGTGGATCGTTTTTTTTCAGAACTAAGACCAAACAAAAACTGGTTCCTCAGGCTGCTCGCATGCTGAAAGTTAAGTGCTTGCAATTAGAGATGTTATCTGGATGGCATGAAAAATCCTCATTGTTTCTCAATAATCACCATTATTAAGATGAAACCATTATACCATGAGCATATTACAACAATTAGCCCAGAACAACTGTGATAGCAACAACCAAGACTTTCGCTTCTTTCCTCTTTTTTATTTCCAAAATACACAGTTTCAATTTATAAAGTGAACCAATATACACACTTCCTAGCTCTTATGAGCTAGCATCTTTCCTCTTTTTTATTTTGAAATGACATATTTTCAATTTATAAAGTGAAACAATATAGTCACTCGATAGCTCTTGTACTGTGAGTAGCATTCACTATGCACTGAGCCCATGATGTGGGTATCACCACACAATAATCCCTCAAGGGCTAAGAAGCAGAAGCTTCTGGAAGCCAAGGAACTGGCCCAAAGTCAGGATGCAGGATAAAGAGGAGCTGTGATGCGAACTCAGGACGGCTGGAGACAAAAGCCCTCAACATCCCTCTGTGCTGCCCTGGCTCTCCCATGACAGACAGCTCTGCACAAATTGCACACCCTGCCACTTAGGAAAAATCGTTACTGCACACTGCTTGATACTTTTAATATACTTCCGTAAATTACAGAGTAATTGATTGGACATATTAATTGGTTTAATACAACTCCAGAGATGTGGAACTCCTAGTTGAAACATTTTTTTTCTCATCTCCTGTATTCATTTGTTAACCTCAATGATCTAAAAGGAGGCTGACACCCTTGAGAAAGACAAAGATTATTATTATTTTTTTTTCTTAGACCCTGAGGTCAGTAAGTGCTTAGTGGAGTGGTAGGCGATTTCCCTGATATGACCAGCAGAGGGCAATACACGTTGTAGAATTCAGAGCTCATCCCACCATCTGTCCCAGTTCTATTCCAAGGCCAATGACAACCTGCCAGTCCCTGGCCATTCACTTTCTAAGGGCTTGCACAAACTACCACGTAAGAACACCATGGATTTGTATGAAAGTAATGTTTTAAATAGTCATTAAAACCGTGCCAGACTTTAAAGATTTGTATTTCATCAGCATTTGTTGTGTATGTATGGCATAAAATGTGTGATCTCCAGAACTGAGATGATCAAAATAGCTTATTTCTAACAAAGCAGAGTCTATTTCTACTCCCCTCAAAAGCTAACTAGCTATCAACTTGATTAGAAATCCGTCTTTTTATGCCATCTGGTATCTTTTAATACTCTTCATTGGGCAACTACTTGGATCAGGCAACCCGCTAACTCCTAGGGACACAGTTGCTTCTCTGCCCTGAGCAGCTCACTGAGCTGGAACGGCAGGTGGAAGGACCCTCACTCCTGTGCTCTGGAGGTGTGGCTGCAGTGCTAAGGAAGGAAGAAGAGGGAATGATTCAGTCAGGGGAGTCAACCAAACATTCTAGTCAATCAAACAGCCAGGAGGGCAGAGCACGTAGGTCACCCAGAACAGAGGCAGACAGAGCGACTCAGGCCTGGGGACAAGGGTTTGAAGGAAGCCTGTGTGACCCATTGTCTGGGCAGTTCATGGTTTGTTCTGGTGGACCTGGTTTTGTCTGCTGGACCTGGTATATGAGGGAAGCCAAGGTGAGTAAGGAATGAAAAGTTTGAGCTGAACTGAGAAGGCCATTGAATGCGATCTTGGAGGATGGTTTGGCCCTCAAAGCCCATCTTCATTAATAATCTATATTATGGTAATCCCTTGGGGGCACGAAAGAGTGATGTCCATTCCTAGGCCCAATTCTGGAAGCAGGAAAGTAATAGGCTTTCTTAGACCGAAGTGTGAAAACCTAGGCTATGAACAATGAGCCACCATTAAAGTTTCAAGAGGGTTCCCTGAAGCCAGTTGTGAGCCCCTGCCACAGTTGGGCCTTGCCCCCTCAGAGAGCTCCAGGAGCATGGATATACCCCATAATCTCTGCCCAGACCTATTGCATTTTAAGATTCCTGGATGGTTCCCATGCACGTGAACATCTAAGACATACTGATTTAAACAATGATTAAGAAGGACTAAGCTGGGAAGAATAGGAATGGAAAGGGAGGATTTCAAAGGCAGAGCCCTATAGGAATAGAATCAGAACTGAGTGTTAAGTGGGGTATCCTAGGTCCCTCTCTGCAAATAACTTTCAAAAACAGCAAGGATCGATCTGACTATCACTGGGCTGATGCCTAGCAGCCACTGATGCAGGCAGGTGGACACCAAAATGTAGCAGCCCCTAAAGCCCCAATCCCATTTATGCCCAGGTGCACTCAGCCCAGCCTTGCAGGAGTCTTAGATGATTAGCCCATGCTCAGAGTCCAAGCTCAGGCCAATTTGGACATGTATCCTCTTTTCTTCATCCTCCTGGTCTTTAATGGCTAGCTCTTCAGCTAGAAAATACACATGATTTACCACATTTTTCTCTGTTCAAAATAGACTAAAGCTTCTTCTGAAATCTGACATTAGCCAAAAGACCCATGGGCCTTAAGTGGTGCTCCTCTGCAGGGGAGTTATCCGTCATCTCTGGGCATCCCAGCTCAGCTGCATCTGAGACGTCCTCTTCTGCCGTGACCCGATGTCAGCAAGAGGGCCCAGTGTGGTGTCTGTGAATGTCTCAGTTGTGCACCTGTTTCAGAAGTCCTGCGGGTTGAGGGTTTTTCTAGTCTTTGGCGCAGATGCCTACACTGCGCCTGGCTCACAGCAGGTGCTCGTCAGTGTTGGTGGAGAGCAGTGGTACCTGAGTCCCAGGGTCTCTGCCCGTGTACTAGAGAAAGGCAGTACCTTGGAGCACAGCATGCTAAGGGACCGCCCAATGAGTAAGCCACCGAGAACCAGGAGCCTGCAGTGGGTCCAGGCAAATTCTTATTCCTAGCATGGAGACTTGCTTGCCCTCCTGCTTAGGCATGAAGTCACCAAATCACTTCCCACAGGGCATCTCCTGATCATTCGCATTAATCAGTGCACACTGACCCAGCCAGGCTCAGATTTAGGAGCCTAAGAGACAGGACAAAAAGCACTGGGCCTTATTTCTGCTTTTGTGGAATCTGCAATCAAGAGGACAGATGCCTCTGCAGGTAAATAACCACGGAACGAGGTGTGTAGAACAAAAGGCACAGGAAAGTGGAAGCAAACTCCCACAGGACAATTGTAACCAGCTGAGGGAAGCCTTCTAGGGTGCCAGTCCCTGTCCCTGAGGAGAGATGGAGCAGGAAGGGATTCTGAGAGGAAGACAGTAGAAGCAGGAGAGGCGGCACCCAGGATAATGATCAGCCAGAGCTGAGCTGGGATGGAATGGGAATTGGGCTGGATTATGCAGGCTCTTGAGGCCTCCTCAGGGATGGGGGCTCCTTTCTGGAGCAGACCCTTCTCTAACCCTGATTTCATGTTCTGCGAATGAAGGTGTCAGAATCTGAGAGCCCAAATCCTACCCCTCATGACCCTGGGCCCCAGTGGGTCATACAGCCATGCCTGGAAGTGCAGGATCCCAGGAACAAA